TTTATGCTCAATTCCATGCAGTAGAAATATTGTGATAAATAAAACAAAATCAGTTATTAATTGCAGGTAACATGTAAATTATTACTTGAGTCTTTTTTACCTTCTTTTAAATCTTAGTACATTTTTCTCAAATTTGATTCCTTGAAATATTTTTGTTAATCTGGAGGCATGCAGCTTTAATTCTTAGCCTACTGTCAGCAACAGATTCTACTTATGTAACCAGTGCAGGCCAAAATCATGGTCTACACTGTCTGCATTTCAGTTAGTATATACTAGCGTATTTTCAAATGTTCCCTATAAACAATGGATGGTTTTGTCTAGACCGAAAGATGGTCAAGTCCATTTATTTAAAGATCTATCATGTGGTAAGGGTTAATCTGCTTGATTCACTGTATGAATTTTTTATTGGTTTTCACATTAAACAAACACAATACATGTCATACGAAGACTTCCCAGCTTTATTGGGGTAGGAAGACCTCAGGTGCTCCTCCAAGCGTTATTTTTGGCACAAACTGGAACCTGAGTAGAACCACTTACTTTCCATAAGCTAGCTGGGTAGCTTCCTCACATGAAAGAATCCTGGTAGGATTCGAACAAACAGTTGTGAGGGGCAAGTGGTGTATGCTTTAATGAATTTAGTACACAATAGTTACTTACTTTGGAATCTAAGGTCATATCAGAGACAGCTTCTTGTACCTGACCCATCTGTGGATCTGTAAAAATTAATAGTAAGATATAAAATGAAATACAATGATACATAAATGTCCATTCAAATGCCCAAAATAAGGGCAGTATTATTAGCAGAACCTTTTGCTAAGATTTGAGGTAGCATAAAATGTGCTAATTATATTTTGTTTTTATAATACTAATTAAAGTAAATTTATGAAGATTTTCTATCAATCGATCTTAATGTTTTTTTACTTGTTTTAATATCTACATTAAATATAAAATTAAAATTATGTTACACTTGTTTTGTTTATGCAGGGATGCTTTTAGCTAAATTTTTCACTTCATACCAGGGATGTCCCAAAATGTTGTAAACTAAATTATTTTCTCTTGAACCCAACGTCATTACTTAATAAAATTTACCAGATATCTTCATTGGTCATTTGTGAATTTACCTGCTCAGAATTAAAAGCTACTATTTTCAATAACACTTTTTATCACAGTATTAACATTAAAATTACAACTTACCAGGTGGGAAATAAGACATTACTCAGTGTTGTAAGCATTCTTCTTAATAATAAATTATTTGCCATTTGTATAAAAAAAAACAACAAGAAAAACAAGGGTGTGTAATAATTATAAAAACATGATCTGTGAATGTTTTTTTTATGTAAGATTTACCAGCATAATGATGTGTATCTACCCATCCACCATCAGGGTCGTTCTCTTCTATCACTTTCTCTTGCTCTTCCTGGTGGTTATCTACCTGCTTTACTCGTTTATAACATGGTACTGGAAATAATCACACATAAATCTTACATACTGACTTAATATAACAATACATGCTTTACTCGTTTATAACATGGTACTGGAAATAATCACACATAAATCTTACATACTAAATCAATGTTACAATATTATCAATAAAACAAACTGTTCTACACACTTAATTAAAAATACAATAGTAACAACAGAACAAAGTAAGAAAAATATTGGACTACAATGTATCTTTTGTAACAAAAATGTCAATTAAATAGAGGATATTGAATGAGAGTATTCAGTAATAATTTTATTGAGCCACTAGCATTTCTTATTTTATTTAACAAGTTCAATAAATTTGGTAATGAACCTACACAAATATAATATTCTATTTATCACATACCAAAATAAAGACTGTTTAAAGTGAAAAATAATATTTTATTATTTACACGCTTATAGTGTAACATTTAGCGCAACTTCACACTATGGTTGTATAAAGCATATGATGTCATACGGTCAAGTCAAAATATATGCATGGCCATGTAATACCAGTTTTACAGAGTCACGAAAGCTGCACAGGTATGTGATGAACATAGTATTAACAGAACAAAAAGTACACAATCAACCAATGATTTCTGATAACATATTTAGTCATTTCAAATTGGTAAACTATAGAGATGCGTTTAGGTTTTTTTTTTATCTATTTCTAAGAAAAGAATTATTTTGACAAAGGTTATAACAGTTTCACTGCTTAACATGCTCTATCAGCCTCTATATCCCATTAAAATTGAAAATAGAATTAAAATATTAATTCAAGTTTTCTCCTCCAAATAGGATCATAAAATGTTGCTTGTGAATCTTTAAAATTTCATACCAGTATACCGTTTTGCTTGGCAACACTGGTTAAACAATGCATTAAGGTTTTTGCTTCACTTCTTGGATGTTTAATGTTATTTATACTAAAGATGTTATCAATACAAACTGAGACTTAATACAAGCAACCTTTCTTAAGCACTTTGCAACAACCTTAATGTTCACAAGTTAGGGGCTAAATTGATAGTGGAAATTTAGGTCATTGTGATATTTTTTTCCTCACAATTTTGAGCACACCATTTCTAAAGTTCCAAAACTCCTACAGGTATGGGCTATGTTCACATAACAATGGCAGTCATTTAAGCCAATTGTAATTTTACATGTACTGTGACATATTATTCTAGTTCATCAGATTGTGTATTTTTGTTTTCTTAAAATATGAATGGATTGATATCAAATACACATGACCTAAATCTTTATATCCTGATAACCAACATATATCTATTGACATATTTAACCACTAGGGTCAATACCCTAACCCTTGCAACTGTTGAGTTCCTGAACTTCTGAACTCTTTTATTATGTGAGGCAGTGACACTACTTGATAACCTAAATTGTTTATAAATAACAGGGAAAGCTGTTGGAAATAGTAAGAAGTGTGGAAGTTCAAACCTCCCATATTTTGACAATTAAAAAGAAATTAAAATAAAATATGAGTCATTTATTGACTACACTTTGACTTCTGTGACTGATCATAGCACAATCTTAAATCATTATAACAGAAACATTTTAAGTGGGGAGAAATTGGGGGTAGTTTTTGAGTTATCTGCCCTTGAACTTGAAAATTTGGATTAAATAAACACTAAGTTCATTATGTAAACTGATAAATAGGAATGTAATAAAACTTAAGTTATTAAAAAAACTTCAAAGTATCCTTATAATATACAAGCCACTACATGGTCTCATCTAAAAATTAAATTTTACAATGATGATCTTTCCATACAATTCATTATAAGGACTCTGATAGCTAAAAGAAACATAACTATTCTTATTTAAATTGTCAGTAACAATAATTTACAGTTATTTATTTGAAGAACATAACTCCCTTATTACAAATTTTGTTAATTGTTTCTAAAAGAATTTATAGTTTTTTAAGTCAATTAATTTATCTTATCATACTGTTGATTTTACCAGTTGTAACTTGTATTAATAAGATAATAACAGGTTGAATCTAAGACTTACCATTTTTTGTAATGAGAAATTGTTTATCTGCTGGTAGGTATGGTTTTCTCTTAGATTCTTCCCCAGCTGACCAGTGCCATGTTGGACAATGATGTACTAAATGATCACCTGCTGCCACAAACTGTCATATAAAATAGCAAAGTATTAACATATTTATATAGTACTGAGTGTATTTATATCATGCTATAAGCAGCACTAAAATTAGTATGTCTTATTCAGGTTATAAATATGATTGTAATGATAAAAATTTAACAGTAGTTCTCTTATCCCCCCTTTTTTCCAAGAAAAAAAAAGATAATATACAATGGCAAACAGGCAAAACTTTTTATTTGTTAGGATGAAGTTTTACTAAAGTATGTATTGCTTAAATTCAGATAGTTTTGATTTCTGTTAGGGGCCTTGACAGTACATACCTTTTTTAACAAATTGAATGATAAAAAGACTTACATGTACTTTCATAAATTCACTTGACTGGTCATATTAAATAACCATTTTATCTTTAATTTAAAGTGCATATTAGTTACTATCAAAGTTCAAGTAAATTATCAAAGACAGCAGACTTTCATTATAGAAGACAGTAAAATTTGGGTCTTATGATTAGATTACTATCTTGCTATCCAGGACAAGTTAGTGGTAATAAATTATAAACTTATTAGATTTTTATTCTCTACACCTTTTTATCTTTAAAACAGATATTTTAGTATTTTTTAATCTTTTAATCACCATCCTTATTGAAGCTATTCACAAGTTCCAGATACAAAGTAGCCTACACTGAACTTGCAATGGGGGTTTGCATTTTTTTTCTAAAATTAATGATTTGGAGAATATTTATTTACATTAATAGATCTATATAACAGATAATATGGGCTATGTAAAGATTTTGAGTAACAAAAAGAAAAATTAATTTATTCTCGTTTATGCCTAAAATGAGTAATAATGTGAATTTAAGAGCAAGTTTACCTCTTCTGGAGTTATAACACCAGTTTCCTTGAACTTTGACTCCTGAAATATAAACAGTAAACAATTAAAATAATTATAAATAACTCCAGATCATTTATAAAAATAGATTTTTCTTTCATAAATGAAAGAGGAAGTACATTGCTTTAAAAACATTGTTTCATGCTCCATTTTCTTGTACGAAGTCTTAAACATATATTTAAACAGTTGCAAAAATATTCAATGCCGTATAAATAGACATTTACATAAAGAAAGTATTATTATAATTAGTGTTTTTCAATGTTATGATCTATCCGAAATCAGTTTAGTTTATGACGCATCAAAATGTCAATTTTCCGAGCACAAACCTTTAGGACAGGTGTAAGATATTCAGCAACACCTAGAGCAGTACCCTTAACAGTGTTAAAAATGTTCTGCATTGCCATTTTACACCGTCATCAACACGATTTCGAAAATAAATCGAAGTCCAAACTCTCTTTTCCGGATAGGACGTTATGTGACTTCAAGATTGAAGAGTCTACTTTCAGTTTCATTAGTATTCGCGATGCAGCTGTCAAACTCGAATGGTGATAAAAATGTGTGAAAAAGAGCATAAATGCGAGTGTGCACACAGTTCAACTAACCCGTCTGTTCAACAAACATTAGAAGAACTAGATTTTAGTAGGGGTATATGGACAGCCGCATTAGACGGATCATATGAAGATGTTGTGAAATTTCTTGAGAAGAAAAACGACCCAGTTGACAAATGTGACACTTCAGGCTACACAGCTCTAGTATGGCAATTTCTTTCAGATAATTTTTGATTTATAGCCTTTATCTAATGCTTTAGTAACACATTTTCAGAAAGCTCTATGGTATTTAAAATGTTTCATTTGACATAAGATAGTAGGTTTTAACACATTTTCTCAAATTCTGCAGTATAGATCTTCATAACAATTGTAGTTTTTAGTCATTTTTGACTTGTTTTCGATCAAAATCATGGATATTGCACATATGATAACACGATTATCATTTCTATCTATCTTCCATTAATGTCAAACCCCTAGCGGGGACGTAGACATGACTCTAGACAAGTCACTTCAGAGACAGCTATGAGATACAAAGGAATCTGGCTCTTATTGAGGACGAGTTGATCAAAAGTAGGGGACGAGTTGACTAAAAAGGTGACGAGTTGACCACGGGACAAGTTGACCACGGGACGAGTTGACCTGATTGCGTATTTAATGACTTGAATTTATGATAGGAATTTCACGGATAATTACAGGCATGTTAGTATGTTTAAAAGTAATGTTCATATTTTTAATTCATGATGACCCGTTGCTAATGTTGAGAGAACTTGTGGGTCAACCCTTTTGCCAAATATGTCAAGTCATTGTATTGTAACTGTCTACATGTATGTATATGTCTACTTTTTTGGCAATAAAATATGTTTAAATCATAAATCAATTCATGATGAAGTTGGAGGTCATCAGGATTACTTTTGTTTGAACAGAGTTATTGCCCTTGCTGCTGAAACTAATAATTGCCCTTGCTGTTGACACATTCCAGAATTAATTTGATCTCAGAGTTATAGCCCTTGCTAGTGAAACTTCTCAGCTGTGATTTTTGAGAGGAAGGGGAGATAATATACTGAATTTGCTTTTTATATTTGCAGCATTATGCAAGTAGAAATGGTCACACAAGAATATGTAAACTGTTGCTTGACAATAATGCCTCACCAAATATTCAGACACGTTCAGGTGGTGTGACACCTCTCCATAGGGCTGCGTATTGCGGACATACAGATATAGTGGAACTACTTCTAAAGCATGGAGCTGACCCTTTGATAGCAGATTCTGATGGAAAACTTCCCTTACACAAAGTATGTGAGAGTTTATTGCTACCTTTTGTTATCAAGCTGTAAGCAGATTAAACCCAGCCTACCAGTAGAAATCTAATCCAATATTTTCACCAGACAGTATATAGATATCGCATTGCTTCAATTTTTTTTCTAACCAAATACTCACAATTATTTTCATGCAATAAGGAATCAAATGAAAAGTGAATTCATTCAATATGTCTGTTATGATTTTAATGAATTTTTTCTCTTTTTCTACCAGGCTGCTGAAAAGGGTTTTGCACCTGTAGTAGAGATATTAATGAAAGCAGCAAAAGACAGTGTTTTCCATAAAGATAACAGAGGTCGCACTCCAACAGACTGTGTCACAAAAGAGTGTTCAAATGTGAAATCTCTTCTTGAATTAAAACAAGAGCAATCCTGAAATACGATGTTAAGTCACAAGTAGACCAATTAGCTGCAGAGTGTTGTGTGAAATAATGATATAAATGTGACAGAACCTGAATTACTGTTATTTCCCAACAGAACTGTGAACAGCTAAGACAAAAGAAAGTGGTTTAATTTTAGAAATCTCAAACAACAGAGCTTTAAGAAAACCTCCTCTGAACTTGTTTTGGTGCACAAATTTTTTTACTTGCACTCCTAAATTTTCATTTGTTTATAGTCAGCCGAATTTTTTTGGACAATCAGTGGACATGATGTTAAAATAACTATAAAACTCTTACAGTATCTGCTAGTTTGTTTCATAGTTAAGGGACCTTTCTGTTGAAAATGTGTCAGAGTTAAATCGTATACATATACATGCACAGTGCATTAACTGGAGTGCAGGTATTAGTTACCCGCACTCCAGAGCATGTCCATTGATTGGCTCATTTTTGCTGGGGTTTACTTATTGTGACGGCAGAGAAAGGGAAAGCGATAGAAATATCATATTCAGATGCTCGTTCATTGGTTACTTTTTTCTGGGGTTTCATATTTTGACAACAGGGAACGTGTTTTTTTGTTTGACTATGATACAAAAGAGAAAGAACATCAAAACATCGGCGATCTGATTAAATACTCAGGGGCTATGCCCCCCTTGTACAAATCAGATAGTCTCGTGTTTCAATGCTCTTTCTATTACATAGAGCAGAGTATCTGGCTTGAGGGTAACTTTAACTGAGAGTAACTAGACAGTTCTATTGAGACAAAAGTCCAGTGTTTTTTTCTTCTTGCCTATTTCATACCAATTACAGTGGAAAACGATTTACAAAAACATTTTTCATTTAGTACACTTGATAGTAGCATAACTTATGAATTTACAATCTTATTCATAACGAATGGAAGGATGTCATCACAACGTCATGTACACAACTCATTTATTAAGGCGCCAGACTCAGAATGATGTTATTTGAAGCATATACCTTATCTTACATGTGGAGACCGCAAGATACCATTTTCCACACAGCTTCCACAACAGTATGATATGCGAGAAACAAATTTGTATTTCTCAGGACTAGTGGGTCACCTAAACATGAGAGAAAAATAACAACAAGACATATCACTCTTAAATAGAATTTATTCAATGCTGGCAGGACGGTGGGATAACAAGTTAGATGCTAACAAGTATTATATCAGATCTAGAAAGATATAAAAAAACCAGATACATGTATAATCATTCTACAAGAGTGACCACCCTTGATACTACTGTGCCTTGTATAGCCTGAAAGGTATCTTAAATTTAACTGTAGACATTTTAAACTCATGATACAAGATAATAGAACCAATAACATGAAAATTATCATATTAAAAAGTTTCTTTGTTGTTACTTCCAAGTGTTGACATAAACTTTTCCCGTCATAATGTAGTAATTTGTTTAATACGCCAGTGCTCTTGGAAACAGAATTTATAAAATACTAAACAGATACAACCGAATTAATGAATACTTAACAGTGAATAACAAATCCTAAACAGTTTAAGAAGTCTGCAGTGTATGTTAAACAAGCAATTATCATAGTATTGCAAGCAATCCATAAGTCCCCTACCGGTTAGAACCCCAGCAACTTTCTGATGGGCCATTGGCCAGTCAATTTTACCAGTGAATGAATGACATGAATGAACTTAAATCTTTTGAGTTCTAAGTTTGTCTATATCACAGTAATGTGTTAAGTTTCCCTGGCCTAGTAAGGAAATTATGTTTATACAACCTTGTCATATTATTACGATGTGGGATTTAAAAGTAAATCCTATAAGGAATGAAGAAGTTGGAGTGAAAAATACCAATTTCTCAAAAAAAATCTAAGTTCAAGGGGGACATAATTCTGGAAATAGTCTTGCTAGAGTATTTAACCTTCTCAAAAATGTTGAGTGATAAAAAGAAACATATATATGAAGTTTGAAGTAGATACATTAGGAAATAAAGAAGTTATTTAAAAAAGACAACATTTTTTTTCCATCAAAATTCTAAGTTCAAGGGAGGTAATACTGATAATTTTTGTGCTAGAGTTGTAAACCTTGTCACATATGATGTGGTTGATGACTAGAAACTTATATTTAAAGTTTGAAGTAAACACCTTAAGAAATAAAGAACTTATAGTGAAAAAGCTGAAAATTTTTGAAATTCAGGCTATTTGTTGCCATAGCAACCAGAATTTTCAACATAGGAAGAAAAGAAAAAGATGTGCATAATCTCCAGACTGCCATCTACCCATATTTCAAGTTTCATAAAAATATTTTCAGTACTTTTTGAGTTATCACTGGATCCAGTTTATGTGTTAAAATTTGCCATATTTTCAGACTATTTGTTGCCATAGCAACCAGAATTTTCAACATAGGAAGAAAAAAAAGACGTGCATAATCTCCATACTGCCATCTATCCATATATCAAGTTTCATAAAAATATTTTCAGTACTTTTTGCGTTATCGCGGGATCCAGTTTTGTGGACGGACGGACTGACAGACAGACAGACAGACGGAGGGTAAACCTAAAGTCCCCTCCGGTTAAACCGGTAGGGGACTAATAAATGTTCTTTACTACAATTGTAACAAGCCAAAAAAAAAATATATCGCAAAACAAGTAAAGTCGTTCTGTACAAATAAATAAACAAAGTTGGAGTTTTTGAAGACTCGAGATTTCAATATACATTTATTTGAAGTACAATTGTTAAAAGTGAGATTTTTTAACTCTAACCCAGCTAAACAAGTATAATGGACTAGTCTGACTTTGAGATTAGACCTGTCCATTGTGTGTTTTAGGGGTATCAGTATCAACATAATACAAATTAAGCAGCAGACAATACAGAGCCTTGTCAGACTGCATATCAGTCTTAGCTCTGGCCCCACAGGCAAATCATTACGGCCAATAGAAATGGATTATTTTTTATTATTATTAACCAATCAAAATAATGTTTACATGGCAAGAGCAAACTGTAACAGTAGTCAATACATCAATATTTTACTAGATATATTTTTTAAATTATCAAAATGACATTAAATCAATCAATTGCTAATCTATAAATGTAAATCAAAAAAAATATACACAACAGAAACGGGGCTTTGATCATTAGTGGCATTTCTATGTATGATAATTTAAACAGTTATCATTTATTACTGCCAATATGACTGCATTCACTACCAAACAAAAATAAGTTATTATACAATCTTGACAAGCATATAGCACTAAAACAAATGTCATACATAATACAAATATTATATCCAGTTCAATAAAACTGGAATGTGTTCATTACATTGGTCCCATGCTTCAATATGACAGGAAAATTTGAGACATAAAATACCTATAATGTATCACATAAGTAATAATACGTCCCGTTTTTCAAACGGGCGTATAAAAAGCACTTTTTTCCATCATGGTTTTGAATGTTGTCAAACACATTTAGTATTATGATCAAAATAAGTATCACTTTTTTCTTTTCTTTGATCATGCCACATTTGTTCACCTATGTTAACACATTACATCTAGTACACATCGGAATAAATAACGCTTAAATTATAATTGCTATTAAACCCATGACATCACTTGTTTTTCAATGTAACATAACCATTACACACACAAGTTTGATATAAAACTTCACAGTCACCAAAGTCAATTTGTGACGTCACTTAAAAATAATGGATCAAAAGGTAATTTTGTTTTTTGTTTTTGGCGTAAAATATCAAGTGATAGTGAGAATCTTGCATTTTGCTGTCATTATATTTTTGATTTAAATTAAACTCTTCATTAATATGTACATATGGCTAAACTGTCTGATATAATGTATACTTTTGTTTGGCATTTAAAACTCTTTTCCAGAGATGATCGCTTTGACACAATTAATGACAAAACCATTTAGTTACATTCTATTCTGATTGTTGGAATATATGGCTGTTGAAAAGACTAACAATATTTCCAACTTTTATCATTTTTAACTTTCAACACAATAAAACAGTGTTTTCCATTTCACTTCTTTGATCATTTGAATCACACTTAACTACCATACTATTTCCCTGGCAGCAGTGTCAAACATTTAAACCATCAGCAGCCGTTTGTAACAAAATATACACATCTCCAATGTAACAGAAATGTCCTGAGAGCTAAGTCACTTTCTTCCCTTGTCTGTAAGTCAATGGACTGTGCAGCTTTGGTTCCCGGCCTTTGTAATGTTCATTAAAGTCTAGACGGAAACTTAGGAACCGTAAACTAACATCCTGGTGACTGGTTACCATCAGCAAGAATTGTTGTACCATATCCTGTAACATAAAATGGTTCCTGGCTTTCAAGACACAGTATCATTTTTGTAAATATATGACAAATTTGAAAACTAAAACAAAATCAATACATACATGTGCAGAACACTTTTTGTGTAACTTGCAAGTGTTCTTGCCTCCTGTATTTGTACTGCCTTATCTTCCCTCAAACAGAAATTTAAACCAATACAAAGGGTTAACAAGAGCACCATTAGGTGGAGCAATAAACAAGATTGCATTTGAGAAAAATGCTATGCCACCGCATTAATACCTAAGCTCTAGGCCTTTTGGGCATTTACAAGAAGGTATTTTAAGTTTTTGAAGCCTTGTACCTTGTACCTACAGACAATAAGATTTTTTTATTTTACTATATGTATATATTGAAAATCAATGACCCCCGGGGCGGGGGCAATTTTGACCCCAGGGCTATAATTTGAACAATCTTGCTAGAGGTTCACTACACAATGTTTCATGCAAAATATCTAACCTCTAGCATTTGTCAATTGCTAGAAGAAATTTTTTTAAAGTTTTTACTATATACATATAACGAAAACCAATGACCCCCGGGGCAGGGCCGATTTTGACCCCAGGGCTATAATTTGAACAATCTGGGTAGAGGTCTACAACACAATGCCTTATGCTCTAGGCCTTTTGGGTCTTTACAAGTAGGTATTTAAAGTTTTTACTATATGTACATATAGTGAAAATACATATAGTGAAAATCAATGACCCCCGGGGCGGGGCCGATTTTGACCCTAGGGCTATAATTTGAACAATCTTGGTAGAGGTCTACCAGGCAATGCCTTATGCAAAATATCTAAGCTCTAGGCTATTTGGGTCTTTACAATAAGGTATTTTAAGTTTTTACTATATGTACATATAGTGAAAATCAATGACCCCGGGGCGGGGCCGATTTTGACCCCAGGGCTATAATTTGAACAATCTTGGTAGAGGTCTACCAGACAATGCCTTATGAAAAATATCTATACTCTAGGCCTTGTGGGTCTTTACAAAAAGATTTTTTAAATTTATTCTTATAATTTCTTTTGGTTGCCATGGCAACCAGATTTCTGCATGGAATGAAATTCTTTGAACAACTTTGGAAGCCCTTCACCCAAGGATCAATCCTGCCAAGTTTGGTTGAAATTGGACTATTGGTTTTTCACAAGAAGATTTTTTACGTTCACTATATAATCTATATAACAATGACCCGGGGCGGGGCCTATTTTGACCCCAGGGCTATAATTTGAACAATGTTGGTAGAGGTCTACCAGACAATGCCTTATGCAAAATATCTAAGCTCTAGGCTATTTGGGTCTTTACAATAAGGTATTTTAAGTTTTTTTTACTATATGTACATATAGTGAAAATCAATGACCCCGGGGCGGGGCCGATTTTGACCCCAGGGCTATAATTTGAACAATCTTGGTAGAGGTCTACCAGACAATGCCTTATGCAAAATATCTAAGCTCTAGGCCTTTTGGGTCTTTACAAGAAGATTTTTTAAATTTGTTCTTATAATTCCTTTTGGTTGCCATGGCAACCAGATTTCTGCATGGAATGAAATTCTTTGAACAACTTTGGAAGCCCTTCACCCAAGGATCAATCCTGCCAAGTTTGGTTGAAATTGGACTACTGGTTTTTCACAAGAAGATTTTTTAAGTTCACTATATAATCTATATAACACACACACACACACACACAAACAAACACACACACACACAGGTGAATCGCTATATGCCACCGCATCGCAGATGCTGCGGTGGCATAAAAATAATCTTTCAATTAAGGAACTTATTAAACATTTATGAAACTTGACAGAACGAACATGAAATTTTGAAATTCATAAAAAACAAGCATTTGATAGTATTGCAGGCAATACAGTAGTCCCCTACCGGTCCCTCAAAAAGTTCTTTAATTGTCATACACTCCTGTGTATTGCCATTTATAATGAATTTGAGGATGAAGTCTGTATTTGAAAATATCGACCACAAAACATTATAAAATAAGTTTGTCTATATCACAGTAATGTGTTAAGTTTCCATGCTTAGTAAGGAAATTATGTTTATACAACCTTGTCATATT